TATTCGCAATTAATGTGAAGGGGTTAGAGAGTTCATCTGAGTAAACTGAGGTCGCGCTTCTGAAGTCCATCTAAGTTTATTAGACGAGAAGAGCAAATTGGTAAATCGCTCACACCCAAGAATAAGTGTAAACAGTGGCTCAGCTAAGGCGCGAATTATTTCTGATCGCAAACTCAGGTTAGATGATGCAAATGCTTGTGGTGTGGTGTATGTGCATTGAGTTGTCTTCCAGGAATTTCTTCGTAGTATGTAATTGATCTCACTGGGTTTGGTGTCATACTCAAGGAGTCAGAGGAATTCATAAGTTGGGCAATATGACTGCGAGGATAAATAGATATTTGCTTGTAATTCAAGAATAAATTAAACAAATAAGGTGCCGTCTGTGAATAATAAACTCCCTCTCCCATATAAGTATAAGTGAAGGATGGGGAGAAGTGAGGCCATAGGTGAGTGTGATGGAGACCAAAGTATCGTCATAGAAATCAATTTAAAACAAAGTCGAATAAAATTAAGCAATTACTTAGATCCATCAATATATAATGTTACTGTGCTGAAGCGAGTATTGAGAAGCATGATCATTGGAGGGACTATCAAAAATGGCTAATATCAAGGCCACGTCACAGGTATCAAAACGCAAGTTCTGTAGCAAATATTCATTGATTTAATTGGCATTTCAACTCACAGGTCCATCTGTGTCTAAGTCCACAGGATGGATGAAATACATCGACACACAATGCTCAACGTAATGGTGAGATCCCTCTTCTTTTATCAACACGCCGTGCTCACACAAGACTGAGTGCAGGCAAGTACGTCCAAACACACTGGTACGATCATTAACTTAGCCTACTTCTACTGCGATTTGTGGCTGATCCTCTCATTCAAAAGCGTTTTCACATCTCTTCTCCGATATCTGCCACACTACTGCTAAATTTTAAGTAGAAACTATCAGCTACGCAGTAAAAACTAGTGCCTAGCGAATAAAGACGCTGCTTTAGGTATGCTTATCAGAAATTTATTCAATACGAACACAATCGAACAATAACATACAATTAAAAAAGTAATAATACTTAAGGTTAAAATATGCAAAATAAAATTAACCGAAGTAAATATGGATTAGACGATTTATCAGAGTTCCTTAAACTAAGTTAAGGGGGTATTCTGGTCTAGAGACATGAATTCAAGGTCATTTTGAAGTGCTGCAAAAAAACAATGTTTTTATTATCGATTTTTTATACATTATTTATTCACCTTAGAAGCATACAAAATAAAATAAAAAATAAAAAAATTAAAATTCTTTTAGTTATTATCTGATGGAGTGGGCGTCCCAAAAATATGATGCATGACCATACCCACGATTTTAACTCTCCAAGCAATATGAAATCAAAAAATAAAAGGATTATCAATCTCCAATGATGTCGCTATGTCCAGAACTACGGAAAATTTTTTTGATATAATTTTTTACAAAAATGGCGACTGTCTAGAGACAAAAACCATTTTTGTACAACTTTTTGAACATACTTCGATTTTTTAAAAATGTTAAAAATGAAAATTTGAGAATGGCCGTAGTTCCGGACACAGCCAAGCCCCTAAAGAAGACTTATTAAAATTTCAAGTAAATCGGTTTGGCAGAATCTGAGAAATCGTGGGTATCAGATTCAAAAAACAGTTTTAAGAAAAACGCGTTTAAATTATATTTTTAACTTACATTTATTCAATCTGCCATTCCTGCTGCATACATCAGACCTTCCTCGACTTCGAAAAAACTATTTTCGGCGTTTCTGTTTTCTACTCGCGCAGTTCTGGCCTGCTTTGATGCGCTGGATGCTCGTATCTCGAAGCGGTCAATCTGGCCGTCGTCTCGTCTGATAGCAAATGCATGCGCTTCTGGACCAATTTTCACCCCCATAATCGTCATCATCTTCAATATTGGTATAAAGCCTTAATTTAAAATACCACAAAGTACACACAGCAATAAATGTTGCAATTTCAATGATCTGAGACCAGGAATGGATATGCTTTGGAGCGAAAGTCCATATCAGCTAGTTTAGACACTCATTATTATTTTAAGTTTCTGAACACAAACATCGAATCAATAACTCTTCTGATGATAAACTTCGAAGGATTAGTCAATGCATGGACATGATGGAATGTAGCGTAGACTATTGCAACTGCATTGTAATGCAATTTTGAACCCGAGTCCGCGTTGACCCGTTCTTGAAAATATAATCTCGATATATTATATATATATAGATAGATAGATAGATAGATAGATGGATAGAAAGGTAGGTAGATATATAGAAAGATGGATAGATAAGTAGATAGACAGATATAACGGAAAAAGGGGTTTAATAAGAGATATAGATTCAGGTAGTCGGAGAACCCATTATGTCATTTGTTCGATTAGTTGTAGCCAATAAATTAAGGATGCCTGATCATCAAATTATTTATTTCTCCAAAAATAATTTAAATTTTGAATTTATTTTGAAAAATCCTCTCGTAGACATATTCTTAAATAGTTAAATTATGAAAATATGCAAAAAACAAATTCGATAATTTTTTAATAGACCAGCATACACACTTAAAACAGCTCGTGAAAAAATAGATATTTTAGGTTTCCATAGTGAATCTAAGCATAATATTCAAATAAATGTCATCACCTCTAAGATGGACGAAATACTTCGGTAAATAAAACTCAACTCCTTTTTCGTCAGCAAAAGTATCCGTAAAAAGCAATATCGAAACTAAGTCTACAAATTGTACTTAATTTTGAAAGATGTGGAGAAGAGAATTCAAATGAATATTAATACTATTTACCTAAGAAAACAAACGCTTTGCTTTTAGCATTGATGACCTCCTGTGGAATGGAATGCACTGGGCGATCACATTGAAAAGCACTAAAAGGAATTTGTTCACTACCGTGAAGAGCAATCCTTCCGTTTGAGTGCAATATATGGACAATAAAATCCTTCTTACAAAGCATAAGGCCGAATTGGGTACCTCAATTTGCTTCCATTGTTCCACAATTCCAACCCCTTTTGTTTGCTATCAGTTCAGAAGCGATCTCAGCTAATGAAAATTAATTAATTAATTGAAGTGCGAGCATCTGCGCTGCCGCGGTGCTGAAAGGAAGGGCAAAAAGGTCAAATAGCAGTTCATCACATTTCGACTAATCCATTAAAATATTGTAGGTCAGTTGATAGAATAATTGAACACTGTTTAATCACATATTCTTAATAGGGTTATGCGAACAACTTTAATTAGGATTTAATGGCACAAACCTTGAAAGTTCAATTTTAATTATAAGCTGGTAAGAATAAGAAGGGGGGGGGGATGCCAAAGTCTTTATGACCATTGAAAATCACATGACCAACTTATATTTTCTTCAGATTAACAAACGAGATTTGATCCCATTAATCAGTACGAGTGCTTCAAACCGTCAAAGGTTAGAATCGAGAAAATGAGTGGTCACGAGCAATGTGGGATTCTACTAGAAAAAGATTTATATGAAGTTTTAGGAATTGAGGAGGACAGTTGGCAATCGTCTCCAGCTCTACATCAACCCACAGAGCGCCGCCCGAATTTAATTAACCCCACAATCAGGGGAGGACCTTAGGGCAAATGTCATGACCTTCCTTGTTTGCTCGCATTGTAGGCAATTAACATTGTGCGCCATTCATCCATTTACTTATTCATTTATTCGCAATTAATGTGAAGGGGTTAGAGAGGTCATCTGAGTAAACTGAGGTCGCGCTTCTGAAGTCCATCTAAGTTCATTATTCGAGAAGAGTAAATTGATAAATCGCTATCTCAATCATGAATATGTGAAACAGTGGCTCAGCAAAGACGCGAATTATTTCTGATCACAAACTCAGATTAGATGATGCAAGTGCTTGTGTTGTGGGATAAGTGCATTGAGTTGTCTTCCAGGAATTACTTCAAAGTATGTAATTGACCTCACTGGGAATGGTAGCATAGTCAAATACCGAGTGAGATATTAAAATGTGGTCTGATAAATGGCTCAGACTTAACGCGTGATGCTTCACTTATAGAGGGTATAGTGGAAAGTGTGTGAGCGCACTTGGCACAACCGGTGAACGTAACCTTGTTTATGGAGTAAAGTTAATTAAAGAACTGATCAATACAATCTGATTTCGCNTAAGTGCATTGAGTTGTCTTCCAGGAATTACTTCAAAGTATGTAATTGGCCACACTGGGAATGGTGTCATAGTCAAATACCGAGTGGGATATTAAAATGTTGTCTGATAAATGGCTCAGACTTAACGCGTGATGCTTCACTTATAGAGGGTGTAGTGGAAAGTGTGTGAGCGCACTTGGCACAACCGGTGAACGTAACCTTGTTTATGGAGTAAAGTTAATTAAAGAACTGATCAATACAATCTGATTTCGCTCTGTATGTATTCACTTAGAAATAATTAAAATACAATGCATATTTTTCATTCCAGTAACAAGTTATCATAACCCACTTCTAAAAACCCAATCTCAATTTTGCTTTCAAATAAGGCAAAATTATGCAGATTTGAGACTGATAAAACTGTATCCGAGATTTTTAATTTTTTTCTGTTTACAACGAACAGTATCATTTGGTGGGACAGCGGGTTTGCTTCCTACGAGACCAATGGGAGATGTGATGGCCAAACCCTGCCAAGGGCGAAGGAACGTCTTTACGAAGTGGCACTTATGAGACACTCAATCTCAACCACTTCAAATTGGTCATCATTATGGAGAAAGGATGGTCGCCTAAACCTTGGCGGTGACAACGATCAACATTTCCATTTGAATTATTAAATACTAATATTTAATTATGCAAAATTATACCGTGACTGAGTGAATGGCACTTCAATTGGCGCCACGCAAAATAAGCCAATCATAGTGCTGCCTTTTAGCCTAAACGCCATTAGCCAATTAGAAAGAGGCACATCGGCTTGGAGGCGTATAAAATGAGTGACTGATCTCGAGGTCAAACACTTTCTCCTACAGTCATGAGAGCAAAGTTCGTCATTGTGTCTCTACTTCTTCTCTACCTAATCGGATGGTCCTTCGGAGCGTCCTTGAATCGTCCCTCAGAGGGTGATATTGCTGATGTCGTGGATGGCGTTGTTGGTGCTTCGCCTAACGGTAAAGTCAATTTACGTGGTCCTTCTAAGGGTGGTGTTGTTAGAACACCACGCGGGATCGTTGATGTGCGAGGTTTGCCTCTAACACCACCACCTCGAATGGAGATGGGATGCAGTTGTATTTGCGGTCCAGTCATGGCTGTGGAGTGCAATATATGCGACGTCTGTGACCCCAATATGTTCGTTGGGCAGGGAAATGGGGTGGTATCGGAGTTCGAACTTATCAAGCGAACTCTGCCTCATATTCCAGTTGAGTATGCCAATTGGCTCATTTACATGGATCAATGGACTGTCAACTTTGTGATCCGCCATCATTACGATCTCCCCTCTTTGATTATCCATGCTCAAGCAGATACACTTGCGCACATCATCTCCAATGTGCCCGACTTCTCTGAAATGCTGGCACAAATGCATCCAAATGTTATCCTGACCGTTTTCCAACGAATGCCCTATCCGTGTAAGTATTTGCAAGGCATCCGACGAGAAGCTGCCGAGATGATTGTTAACAAGATGGTAGGACTCAGCCATTGCCTTCCAACAACAACTACACCTACCTGGACAACCACTACCGCCACCCCCACCCCCACCACCACCACCACCACCACTCCGACTACTTCAACGCCAGCACCTGGAGCAAGAAGCACAACTGCCACTGTGTCAAAGGCGCCTGTTGATGTTCTCTCGCTGTTCAAAAAAGAGGAGTTAGATTACATGACTGCCAAGGTGCCTCGAATCAAAGCACTTCTCGCAAAGGCTGTTCCAGAAGCAGTACGCATTTCACGCATTATTCATTCTAACCTCAAGGTGTTGGTCGATGATTTGAGTGAAGATTTCCTCGAATTTCTCAATACTCCAGGCTTAGCGAAACTGAAAACCAGCACAATTCACGCGATCCTAAAGATCTTGGGGGAGGACGATTTGGCTATTAATGCTTTGGCCGATTTATTCGCTTAGGTTGTGCAAGCAGAACCCTCCTCAGTTGTGGTCACGGCATTTTCCTGCAAATAAATGTATTGGTTGGTATGTAGTCTGTTTTTTCGAAGTGAGAGTGGGGTGTTGTGGGGTGGGTTGGGGTGGGCTGTGGTTGGGTGGGGTGGGGTGGGGTGATAGGGATGTGTGTCCCAATTGGTGGGAGGTGATTGGAAAGAAGGAGTCTATGCAGGAGATTGTCTGTGGCTGCCTACTTGACAAAATTCTCTCTTTGCTTATTGAACTCCCTTCTTTACCTGCCGATGTTCACAATGGGCTGAGATTTTGTACCTTAGATGAACTGTAGTGTCAATATCTCACTAGATATCAACTTTCTGAGGCAAAGTATAACCTTAAGGAGGTCGGTAAATGGAGGTCTTTACTAGCAATTTCTTTTACTGGGTTTTATTTGAGAATAAAGAAATCGGATTTTGCTTCAACTTTAAAGTTGTTTAAAACTCAGTCGAAACAGGTAGCGTGACCTCAAAGTGAGCCCAAGAGAAGTCTAAGCCCTCGAAGAGATCCGTTGTGATGGTGGTGGTGGTGGTGGTGGTGATAGTAGTAATTTGATCTTATAAATTGTTTCCGATAGTGGGCATCAAAGAGCCATTGATAATGGCTTGCATTAACTGCTTTCACCATGCAATTTCGACTTTTGCACCAACTGCAGCTAACGTTACAGTATGATTTAAGGAATCGTATTGGCTATGAGACTGGTGCAATCTTCATCACCAAATTCAAATTATTTGCATGTCCTTCCCTTACCAACCTACGAATGACTACATGCCATTTTTGATCAAAGCTAGTTAGTATTTATTTACTGTTATTAAATGGCAGGCGTTTCGATAGTTATCATTAGCCCTTGAACTGACTTCGTTCTTCACAGAGGGTAGGGAGAACATCAAATTGACAAAAGTCGAGGGGTGGGGAATAGAAGAGTGACTCACAGATGCCAAAGAAGCAGACAGACACAAAGGTGGGAAAAAGGTAAAATGAGTACCGTGTGAGTGTTGGAATATGAATTACAGTGGGGTCGTGATAGTTTGACGTCAGAAGTCAACTGTCGGTTTATAGACATTTTTGGCGTATGAGTATACGTTGCCCAGGGTGCACCACGGACTCTTTTGCCGTGTATACGTTGCCCAGGGTGCACCAGTTTGTTTGCCGTATGAGTATACGTTGCCCAGGGTGCACCACGTGATAGACTTACTTGCCGTATGAGTACACGTTGCCCAGGGTGCACCACGTGGTGCCTTATGAGTATACGTTGCCCAGGGTGCACCACGTGGAGCCGTATGAGTAAACGTTGCCCAGGGTGCACCACGTGGAGCCGTATGAGTATACGTTGCCCAGGGTGCACCACGTGCCGTTTGAGTATACGTTGTCCAGGGTGCACCACCTGGAGGTAAGTCTATCGTGAGTATACGTTGCCCAGGGTGCACCACGTGGAGGTGTATGAGTATACATTGCCCAGGGTGCACCACGTGGAGGTAGCCGAATGAGAATACGTTGCCCAGGGTGCACCACGTGGAGGTAAGGTGTGAGTGTACGTTGCCCAGGGTGCACCACGGACTCTTTTGCCGTGTATACGTTGCCCAGGGTGCACCAGTTTGTTTGCCGTATGAGTATACGTTGCCCAGGGTGCACCACGTGATAGACTTACTTGCCGTATGAGTACACGTTGCCCAGGGTGCACCACGTGGTGCCTTATGAGTATACGTTGCCCAGGGTGCACCACGTGGAGCCGTATGAGTAAACGTTGCCCAGGGTGCACCACGTGGAGCCGTATGAGTATACGTTGCCCAGGGTGCACCACGTGCCGTTTGAGTATACGTTGTCCAGGGTGCACCACCTGGAGGTAAGTCTATCGTGAGTATACGTTGCCCAGGGTGCACCACGTGGAGGTGTATGAGTATACATTGCCCAGGGTGCACCACGTGGAGGTAGCCGAATGAGTATACGTTGCCCAGGGTGCACCACGTGGAGGTAAATCAATCGAACAACCCAAGTTACCAAGTATAAAGAACTGTGCTAGCGTTTAATTTCAATCATTTAATTTCACGTGACCAACTTTTATTTTACTCACTCCAACAAACGAGAATTGATCCCATTATTCAGTACGAGTGCTTCAAACCGTCAAAGGTTAGAATCGAGAAAATTAGTTGTCACGAGCAATGTCGGGTTCTACTAGAAAAGGATTAATATGGAGTTTTAGGAATGGAGGAGGACAGTAGGCAATCATCTCCAGCTCTACACCAACCCACAGAGCGCCGCCCGAACACAACGAATTTAATTTACCCCACAATCAGGGGAGGACCTTAGGGTAAATGTCATGACCTTCCTTGTTTGCTCGCATTGTAGGCAATTAACATTGTGCGCCATTCATCCATTTACTTATTCATTTATTCGCAATTAATGTGAAGGGGTTAGAGAGGTCATCTGAGTAAACTGAGGTCGCGCTTCTGAAGTCCATCTAAGTTTATTAGACAAGAGGAGTAAATTGTTAAATCGCTATCTCAATCATGAATATGTGAAACAGTGGCTCAGCAAAGACGCGAATTATTTCTGATCGCAAATTCAGGTTAGATGATGCAAAGGCTTGTGGTATGAGGCAAGTGCATTGAGTTGTCTTCCAGGAATTACTTCAAAGTATGTAATTG